GTCTGTTCGCTTTACATTCCCCCAAGCTATCCTGTATCCCGCGAAGAACTTGAATCACTTCACGACCAATTACCCCAACCTGCCCTAATTCTCGGTGACTTCAACGCTCATAATCCTCTTTGGGGTAGTAGAAGACGAGATACACATGGCACGATGACAGAGCGTTTCCTTTCCTTAACAGCTATATGCTTGCTGAACAAAGCAGAGTCTACGTATTTCAGTGCCCCAACTCATTCTTTTACATCTATTGATCTGTCTCTTTGCGATCCGACATTATTTCCTTTGTTTTCCTGGGCTGTCGATCCTAACCCCTATGGGTGCGATCACTTTCTTATCATTCATAAACCGACTAAATCCAACTGTTACAGTGCCTACACGAATTCCTTGTTGGAAGTTTGAGGAAGCAAACTGGTCCGTCTTCAGCCAGACAACCCAGCTCGCTTGTACATCGCTTAACAAACTGTCTATCGATGAAGTCACCAATTTGCTTAGCGCCCACATCCTCAATGCTGCAATTTTAGCTATCCCTATGACTTCATCTCGCTTACCTCGCCGCCCTAAACCATGGTGGAATGCCGAATGTGAAAAATCAAGAAAAAAAGCAGAACAGAGCATGGGGCATATTTAGACGTTACCCAACAGTGACTAATCTCATCAGTTTCAAGCGGATGAAGGCTCATGCGAGATACATCCGCCGCGTCTCACAGCGTCAAAGTTTCCAAGGTTATGCTTCCTCCATTAACAGCACCGCCACCACCAAGGAAGTATGGGATAGAGTACATAAAGTCAATGGGCATTACCGGGCTTACTCGGTACCGCTTCTTTCCGAAAACGGACTGTGCCCTGGGAGCCTAGAAGAACAGGCAGATCTCCTTGGGAAACACTTTGAATGTGTTTCTAGCTCTCAGAATTGTTCATCTGCTTTTCTGAAGCACAAGAGACAAGCAGAACTCCAATCCGTGCGGACATCTGGCGGAGCTCGAGAAGCATACAACTTACCTCTCACACTGGATGAACTGGAACGGGTACTCCATGAAACTAAACCTACGTCTGCTGGACCAGATGGAATTCACTACCGTATGCTTACTCACCTTCACCCTTCCACACTCAACATAATTCTGTATTTGTTTAATCGCATTTGGCAGGAAAGTACATTTCCATCGTCTTGGAGAGTGGCAACCGTCATTCCTTTCCTAAAGCCTGGAAAGGATGCATCGTGTGCATCCAGTTACCGCCCAGTAGCGCTAACAAGCTGTCTTAGCAAAACTTTGGAGAGAATGCCTAACAAGCGACTTGTGTACATTTTAGAAAAAGAAAATATTCTTGATAAATATCAGTGTGGCTTCCGTTCGTCACGATCTACATTGGACCATCTTGTTCGCTTGGAGTCTACCATCCGTGAGGCCTTCATAAATAAGCAGTACTGCCTCTCTGCCTTCTTCGACTTAGAAAAGGCTTACGACACTGCCTGGCAGCATGGCATCCTACAAGATATGTATAGCTCTGGCATTCGAGGCAGGATGCTAGCATTCGTAAAGAGCTATTTGGCGATACATACCTTTTGTGTCAAATTAGGCACTACCTACTCTCGAGAGTTCTGCCAGGAAAACGGTGTTCCCCAGGGAGGTGTATTGAGTGTCACCCTTTTTATAATAAAAATAAACTCGATAGCCCGGGCCATCCCATCATCCGTACAGTATTCACTTTATGTTGATGATCTTCAGATATTCGTCTCATCCTGTAACATTTCTTTCTGTGAACGTAGGATCCAATTAGCAGTAAACAGTCTGCTCAAGTGGGCTGATCAAAACGGCTTTAGGTTTTCACCAGAGAAAACAGTTTCTGTTTGCTTTTCTCGCTTACGGGGAGCTACAGTAGATCCATCGGTGACCATGCACTCCACTCCAATTCCAACAAAACCGGAGCAGAGGTTCCTAGGGCTCATTTTTGATAGTAAACTGTCCTTTCTTTCTCATACTAGGTATCTTAAGGTAAAATGCCAGAAAGCACTAAACATTCTTAAAGTCCTTTCTCATACCTCATGGGGCTCTGATCGTCTCTGCCTTCTCCGAATTTACAGTTCGGTGGTTCGCTCATGCCTCGACTATGGTAGCTGTGTATATGGATAGGCAAGGCCCTCAGCTCTTCGAATGCTTGACCCCATTCACCATCAGGGATTGTGACTGTCTCCATGTGCATTTCGCACGTCGCCTATCCCCAGCTTTATGCCGAGACAAATGAATGGCCTCTGGAGAAGTGAAGGTTTGCTTTGGGGTTTATGTATTCCCTTAGAATACGTTCATTCACCCTGCACGCGAGGCTGTAGAAGACAACGAGCCTCTGTAATCCCGCCTTTTAGTATAAGAAATGCAGCAGCAGCAGATTCGGTTGGACTGAGCACTACAATGCCCATGACCCCCGTACCTCAAGCAATAGCTCCGTGGGAATATAGCCTCATTTTGTGGGACTTTTCACCAAGTACAGAAAGAAAGACACCCCACCAGAATGCATCAAACAGGAATTCTATGAAATCCAAAGTAGATACGCTGGACAGAGCTCGTATTACACAGATGGCACCAAGACAGAAATGTTCGTTGGATGTGCTGTGGTTGGCCCCTCTGTTCGCTATGTTCAACGAATTGCATATACGGCCACTATTTTAACAGCTGGACTATGTGGTATCCGCCTGGCAGTTAATCTTATTATAGAAACGAAGAGCATGAAGTCAGTTGTGTATACTGATTCACTTAGTTCACTGAGAGCGCTCTCATCACTAAATATATCTAAACACCCAATAATCGTAGAGTTGCAGAATAAAATCATCGATGCTTCCAAAAGGAACATTAAAATAGTCTTTTGCTGGGTCCCTAGCCATGTTGGTATACCAGGTAATGAGGAAGCAGACCTTGTAGCCAGTTCTGCTGGTGACAAAGAAGTCAAACTGCATGACATTCCATATAAAGACTGTCACAGACTTTTAAGGCATCATATAAGAGAAAAGTGGCAGCAAGAAGGGGATGAAGAAGTAAATAACAAGCTGCACACTGTAAAGCCACTGCTTAGTGAGTGGGAGAGTGCGAGACACCGTGAACGCTTTTATGAGGTTGTCCTGTGTCGGCTAAGGATAGGGCATACGCACCTCACTCATGGCCACCTTCTGCACAGGGAGGAAGCCCCAGAGTGCGAGCATTGCAGCAATCCTTTAACTATCGCACACATATTACTAGAATGCCCTGCTTATGACCTAGACCAATGGAAACATTTTTCTCAGCTATATAAAGAGCATACGTCTTTAAACCTCCCTATTTTGCTTGGCAACGAACCATTAGTTCCGCATCACTGCGTTTTTAGCTTAGCTATCGGCCTTTTACTCCAACTATGATTTTACACCCAACTTCATGCCCATAACTACTTACAAGTCATTCACATAGTTTTAACCTATCATCAACTACTAAAGTTCTCTCCTCTTCGAAATCCTATCTGCAATAGTGTACGTACCTGGCACATCATAGCCTAAGATGCTTTTGCGCCATAAAACCCCAACCAACCAACCAACCAACCTGGTCAAAGGGGCTTTTGAAACAGCGTTGTTGCACTTTAGGTAACTGACGGCTCAATTATATGACCGGCTCATGTTCCTTCGATGATGAAAGTTGCTCCCCCGGTGAAGCAACCAAAACTGTAGAGTCGGAGGCAGAGAAGGTCTCGTTCTTGCAGGTGCTGCAAGACGCGGACCATGTGCGATCACAGCACCAGTCGTTATCCACCGGGCAAGGACAATGCCAAACTTCCCGTGTTTTTTAGTTGTGTGACTCCTCATTTGCCGTGTATTTCTTAGAAGTGGAGGGGGTATACGGCCTTTTTATAAGGAAAATGGGTGGTTTAAAGTTTTGCCATCTGTTACGAGGCTATGCGCCTTATGGTAGTTTATATAAAATTTTAAAGAATGGTTTCCAATGTTTGCACAATATAAAAGCAAATGTATGAGCTTTTAATGATTTAGTTAGTAGTTTGTTACCTTTGTCCACCAGCTCGTTCTCAATTTCTGCGCTTGCGCGTAGGAGCAGAACTTGAGTTGAATGTTTGTGAAACTTTGTGCTTAAACATTTAAAAAAAGTTGTCCCTTGTTTGTTAAACCATAATGCATTTATACGATCGTAGGGATGTCGCAAACCTGGCAGGCTTGCAACATCCCTACAATCGTGTAAACACAGCAACGATCAGTCACATTCTCATCAGAATTCGCACCACTACGATGTTGGGCGCATAAATGTTTGCACCGAGATCTAGCTCGCCAAAAATGTGCTTCACATGTGAACACTGTGTAATATACTCTTTAGGCGAGAATGTGCAGCACAGCAAATGCTGCAACGCAGTCGACCAGATGAAGTCCTATTGGCGTACACCCGAGTAGCCTCATATACGTATCCGCTGGCTGGTTGGTGCAACTGAGAAAAGAAAAACAAACAAAAATAAAAAAGTGCCTCTTTGCCATGGCATTCATCCGCACACAAATTCCACTTTCAGCACGTCCGGTCTGACCTTGACAGACGCCGACCTGGGCACTGCACCAGAGATCTCTCCGCTTCAACGCATTCGTAAAACATTTCTTGCCGTTGTTGAGGCACTAAATTAGGGCCAATGATGAAGCTGTGTCTAAAAACAAACGTAGCACAGCTGCCAAGTTCTACATGACGCGACACACTCGGAAGACAACTGAAAAAACAAGCATCTCTCCTATAGAGATGCATGGGAAACCGGCCCGCGACAGGCTACCACTAGCCGCTGCTCAAAACGCCAGCTGGTGGCAGCGCTTGCAACCAAGGTGAGGAGAGGGCTTGATCTGGCGACTGCAATGCGTGCAGCGTCCACACCTCTGTAGATATCTTACTCCATGGGTACGACCAAAGTACTGCCACAAACTTTCTTGCCTCATTTTCATCTGTTTTGTGTTTCTTGTGGTCCAACTTGGTGTGGTTCAATGTTTGTTGCCCTCTCAGCTCGGCATTGCCAAGATCAAGGAGAGCCTGCACTGTTCCGACGGATCGGCCGCCGACCTGCTCGACCTCCGCTTCCTGGCGACTGCAAATCCCGAAACGGTAATGGCTCGTATCTTTATTGTTACTGAAACGATACAAATGGCAATAAACACGGTGATCAGGATCCACAGCCAATGGCTGGTGAAGGATCCTTTCAGAAGACTGTGATGTAGCATGACAGATCGGAGCCTACACAAGTAAACATGACGACTGTCGACTTTTATATTCTTTGGATGCAGGATATCTCATGCACAAGTAATTCGAACGTAGTGTCTAAAAAAAATGTGTATCGTCTGTTTTCACGATTAATGAACACACTAGACCATAGAGCACCGTAAGCATCCTTCATATGACAAAACTCTTTGCTTAATCCCTGATTGCATATCTGACTAAGCACTAGTATTAGGACAGATCTAGTTACTATAATAAGCTATACATAATGTTATTATTTATGGCTTAGAACCGAAAGCCTGACGCATCTAGGACATGCCTAGATTATATGGTATTCCCCGGACGTTATCTGCCATCCTGGTGGCTCCAAGTTTTTTCACACCATTAAATAGTTTGTAGAAGTCTATAGTGAACCAACTCATGTCTTGTCTACATTGATCAAGAAAAATGATTCTATAGGGTGTCCAAACATTAGGGCAATAGCCAATGTTGTATCATAAAGTGCACCACTTATTCGAAAAGTGTTAATTTCTCTTCTTTTGGTCAAAAGTACATTAGTTGTGGTTAATTGTGGCACACATTATTTTACAAATGTCCACCATAACTCTGCCGGCACATTCTTTTTATTTTGAGTAGCACCAGCGGAGTACAATATCGCAACATCCCAACTTAGTTTGTGTGATCTCAGTCGGATGTTGTGGATCCATAAGACGTGTGACTCCAATGGGATGGGGCAACCTGTCACACTGTGCACAAAGCAACTGAGTTGCAAGAAAACACCACCTGGCTTAGGATCATGTGCAAAGTTAATGGAGTTTTTATCTTTTCTTTTTCAGAAGAAATTTTTTAATGGTTGCACTTTAATTCCAATGGGATAGTAGAAAGAAAGAGCTTGTAAGCATGTGCAGTGTCTGCAAGCTGTTAAAGTTGAGGCAAAACATTGTCACCTTTTTTCCAATAGGTTTCGTTTTGGCATACCCATTTCCAGGACTTTCTGGCGGCCTTAGATGCCAAACAGGAGGTACCTCACGGAGCTTCTCCATTGGCTAATGAGCTCCCACATTCTGAACTCCATTCTAAGGAGCATGGAAAGTCTGAATTGGAAGAGCCAGTGCTCCAATTGCCATTACCGCCGTCAATGGACACGCAAAGTGGCCATCTCATACGTATCACATGCATGGAGCATTTAAGTTTGAAGCTACAAATTTCCCCAGCAAAGCAGAACACTGTGAATATAACATTTATAGTTCCCAACAACATAATAAAAAAGAGCACTTCCCACTGTGCATGCAGTTTTGCATTTAGGCGGGCACTTAATGTGTGATGGTCCGTTCACACACTTGAAACCGACTACAAGACCAGTGTCTAAGCCTCTTGCAACGGCTTACGACGAAATGCACCGGTGCGGAGCCGGTCTTAAGCCATTGCAAGAGGCTTAAAAACGGGTCTTGTTTCAGTCAGTCATAGTCAAACGCAAGTGTGTGAATTGGGCCTTATCGCAGCCGTACATGTACGTCGACTACCGTCAAAGTTTTACCAAGCAGCCTTTCATATCGGACAACGTGTCCGATAAATTTGATGTCACGTCCCTGTACACTGTCATCACGTGACATTCTCACATCACATGACGTCGTGATGTAAAGCATTATGTCATGCGTAGAGTTCCGTGTTTTCAAATAAATCCAAAACACTCAGAAAAACACTCGTTAGGAAAATTTATTTGGATTTATCCAGAAAACTCAGTTTCAAGGTCACAGTACAGAATGAAAAGCAAAAAATATGGTATTTAACTAATAAAGTTTGTCAAGCGCAGGGTTAAGGCCCGTTCACACTCTTGCGACCGAGTACGACTGAGAGAGACGAGATCTCTCAAAATTTCTTAAATGTTTTTAGAATGACGGAACACACTGGCATTGTGCCGCCATCTATGCGGTGACCCTGGAACTGCATTTCACAAGAGCGAAGGTTTTGCGGGATTTCCAAGGTCAAATGTGCGTAATACCCATAGAAAGGCTCGTTCATAACCTTGGCAAAAATTTTTTCGAGCCAAGAAAGAAAGGATAATGCTCAAGAAATAAAAAAATATGCCGGACCGCCGAGCTTACACTGCTTCCCAATAGATGGCGCCAGTGTGTTCTCCGGTTTAAGAAGTTTTAAGGAACCCAGGTTTAAGAGGTCGCAAGAGTGTGAACGGGCCTTTAGGTGCTCCTAAAAAAAAAGGCCACTTCATTTTTTTTTTTCATCAGGTTTGTACAGTACAACGGGTTAATGTACTTTTGGGCCACGTTAAATGTCACTTTTATGGTTTTCAATTTGGACCATACTGTTTGTGCTTCTTAGATAGAGGAGGAGGGTTGTGTCTTTATAACGGTAAGAAAAACTTGTATATTTTACAGAAGGGCAGATGAAGCTTTTATGCTTCCCAGCGACAACGTTCAGGAGTTTGGCTATTTCAAAGCACTGATGATTATTGAAGCAACACTTTCTGAAAGTTTTGTCATGGGGTAGTATAGCACTCCCAATCGTGAGGGTGTCATTGCCAAATGCTGCTGCAGAAGTATCTTTCGATACTGGGAGCTTTTATCAATTTAGGGTATGTTTTTGTCGAGAAATCATATACTCTTATTTTTAATTTGACAAATTTTAAAACAGTAAAATGAAACTTTGAATTTCGGAAAATCGGGAATCTGCAAAAGTGAACTCCCATAAACCCTGAACTTCCAGCAAAAATTCGACGCCAAAAAATACTCTCCGAATTTTACAAAAAAAAAAAAAAAAAATGAACGCCAAAAACACGAAATTTTAGTCATGTGACGTCGTGCACCACCATAACATCGCCTGACATCACATTGCCGCGCGCAGGGCTGAGAAAGCAACGCTCAGTCACAGACCTCTAGAAAGTTATCGTTTATTCTTGTTCCAGACGTAACTTCTATCATTAATTCCTGTTTTTGTTTTCTAGAAAGTGTGTGCTCATTCTCGCCCCGAGCACGCTCGAGCCGCTTTCGCCGAATCTTCGAGATAGTGACGCCCTCTAGATAAGAGGCCGCCCGCCACCTTGTCGAGTCAGTTTTCGCCTCAGCGTTCGACTCTCCTCTTTCGCCGACTTGGACGCCCGCGACGCTCTCTTATTATCTTTTGTACCCCTTTTATTCTTGCCACAAGTTTGCCACATTAAACGTTTATTTCTTCCCGTTTATTTATTGTTCCTTTGGTCCCCACCCGTGAAAATATGACACTTGGCTTCTTGTGGCAGGGGCTATAACGTCGAACCAACAGCTGGCTGTTCTGCGTTACTGAAACTTCCCCACTGTGGTGCGGCCAACACAAGCTAGCAAGGTTCATGCAGCGCGGCCATATAAAGCCATTGCTTTTCAATTTTCTGGTCGTCTTACACAGGGGCAACCAAAATCAGCAACTGAGGTCGTGAATTTGACACTGTGCGACTTCTTCCCTCGAAGGTTCGGGAAGTCTCGCGTCTATGCCAACAAACCACCACACATTTCTGGGCTTGAGGCTGAGATTTGACCCGTCGTCGGCAAACAATGTCGAAAATGTCGTCGAGAGCAACTTCAAAAGAGAGACAATGTGCCGGCAGAGTGGTGGGGAACATTTGTCGGATATTCTGTTCCACAATTAATTCCAGCATGTGCGCTTTATTTTGAAATAAAAGCTATCCACACTTTTTGCATAAATGACATTTTGTTACGAAATTACATTTTGGCGCTCTTGTCAGGGCACCCTATAGACCTTTTCATTTCGGTAGTTGGCTGACCGTTGGGTAGAGAGCGCCCTTGCACTCGCCGCCATGGGGTTGCTTCGATTTGGTTGGTTTCGGTTTCAACGCGCACGCCATTGTGTCGCTGTTTCGTGCCATTTTCGCTTAATTTTGTGATGCAAATTTCTTTCTTGTGGCACACAAGCAATGACACAATGGTGCTGAGTCACTCGGACAACCACGAGGTGGTTTTGAGCCTGAATTGCGAGCACTTTCACGGACACCAGATGCGTCTGATTACGTCCAATCGTCAGTTTCTGCCAGGTTCGGCGGTGAAACAACTGGCCTGATGCAAAGAGAGGATTACCATCGCCCACGGCCGTACCCGCGGACAGTAGTTGGTAGAAAACAAAAAATAAAGGTCAGGAGAAGCTCCGCCCCCCCCAGGCGCTTCTTGCCTGCCGCCGGGCTTTTGCTGCGCGTGCACCGAGTGCTATGGAAGGGCTCAAGTCAGAGATTCGACTGCTCATCTTACATTGTAACACACTGTAATGCATGAGCGTTTAGTGGAGAAGCAGGTCCACAACATGATTAACAACGTGCTGAATCACGAAAGACAGATGAAGTGACAAGTTTACTGTTCGGATTTTGTAGACCAACTTTTTGTGAACTTCGCAGTCTGAAGAAGTCCCCTATAATGACATAGATGATATAAAAAAGTGTTGTTTCCTCGGCCTGTTTTATTTAAAAAAAAGTTAGATTCACGAGCAATATTTTGTAATAAACCAACCTAGGCCAACTAGAAAAATTAGTTGACTAAGGTACTCATTAACAAGATTTCACAATATTGGCCTTATGAAATAGACTATTTGTCATATGGAGATATGCTTACGACATTCTCAAGGTATGAGATAAGTGACAGGCCCCTCAATTGAAGTATGACATTTATCGACCCTAACATTTGCCAGGTGAAATTAAAGGCCACAAAAGAAGTGGTTTCCAATAAGTTTGGCTGAAGTAGAGTGCTAGTCACCACACCATATGGACCTGTGTAGAAAGCTCTTTACTGGTTCGAACCGACGCGCTTTGTAGATTTCGGCTTTGCCAGTTATACTAAAAGTGAATGCCTATACCCCGTCAACGACGCTGCACTCGTGCGATTTTCATTCGGACGGATGCTTTTCAGCATCACAAATTGTGGATCATAGGCACTCTCAAGGCTGTCTGTGACAGTTTGTTACGCGGGAAGTCAAGACCTTTGTGCTGAAATGACTTAACTGAATTGAACTGGTTATCTTAAGAAAATCATTTAACAATCGAAAGACTGTAGAAATGGGACTAATTAAGTACAGCATACAGTTTCTTGGAATTCATAAAGAAACCGATCGAACGAATGTTTATATAGCAAAAACGATTAAGGACACAGACAGATGTAGGTGTGATATTGTAAACAAACAAATTGCCTGACATTGACGTACCATTATTTCTAGCCTCAGATGAAAAAAAATTCAAATTAAACGTTCGTTGCTTATCTTGTCCACGAGTTCACCTCTATAATCGAAAGCGACTGTATTCGATCTGTTATAAATACAAAACACAATGCTTTCAGGAAACACACGTGGTTATTTACAGTGAGTATTTTGTCTCCTGCCTTGAGATCCTACCATGCGCGATTATATATATATTTACATTGTGCTTCCTATTGTGAATGTTCCACCACTATTAGTAAGCAAACCTGAGCTTTCATAAGTTACTCACCTTTGAGCCCTCCTGCTGTCTTAGAGGCATATATGTAGGGTTTTGCGTTTTTGGTTTTTATTTTTTCAAAATTCGGCGTACTTTTTTTCGGTGTTTATTTTAAAATTCGATTTTCGGTTATTTTCGGTGTATATTTATTCTCAAAAAAATTTACCGTTTTTTTTTCGGTGAACATGAAAGAAACACCATCGGACACTGGATCAGATGATCACTCAAAGAATAACGGCACATACACATACGTGGTCTTCGCTACAACTTCCGTCAGGACACACCTCAAAATCGCGGAATTTGCGGGCATAATCTTCAGCACGCTTCTTTTTCCTTCCCATTCTGACGGCGTGGCCGTCTGAGGTGATGACCGTACAGAAAGCAGTGAAATGGCAAAACAAAATCTATTGTATTTATGTTTTTAGCCACAGGGAAGTTTGAGAGACGGTGATAAGGAGGTATCAACGGCTTTCCTCGATGTCTTCTGAAGTGCATGACACCCAAACTTTTTTTAGGAACAGGAACTTGACAAACTAATCCCGATCACAGAAAGGACCCAGATGTCCCGCGAAGGCCGATCCACGACCTCTTCTGTTGCATGTTGAACCTTGGAAGAGGGCAATCACGAAGACGTCACACAACGTTGAACCTTGCAAAGCCCTCTCTCCCCACCCCCACCCACCTTGACGCAGCCCTAAGAAACTAACCTTTTTCGGTTATAACCGAGTTTTAGAAAACGGATCAGACATAGTTTTATCGGTTTAAACTTAAACGCCGAACCTACAAACGGACCTTTTTCGTTTAAAACCTAATTTTCAAAAATGAATTCGGCGTACTTTTATCGGTTTAAACCGAAAACTCCGAACCCTACATATATGTGCTCAATATGCGTGAGCGTTACCGCTGATTCATGTGCTCATATAGCCTCATCACATGTAGCTGGCACATTGACGGTAAAGATAGTCAAAACGTGTTACAAAATTAACTGCAGAAATTGTGAACATAATGACGTAATGCAATTACATGGTATACATATATATAAGTAAAGGACGTCACTTTCCGGAGTGAGGCAAGAAACGCTGTGAAACGTGACGAGAAACACAAGTTCAACGCATCCGCCAAGACGCGGAGTAGCGCGGAGGGGAGAGCGAAGCGACGAGTTGAAGCAACCTAATGGCGGCCGCATCACGTGACTCCAAGATGGCAGCACCCATGCGGCGGAGGGTGAAAAGGTCTATAAAAGTGCCTATGCCCATTTAGGATATTTCTGCTAGAAATTTTTAAGTGCTGTATTTGACTTATTTGACAATGTTGGAGAGAAACAGGCAACAGCGGAAGACTGCCGGTAACGCTGCTGCCAACAATTTATTTACGGGGAGCAGAAGTTTGCCTGCAATTAAGACAAAGTTAATGAGTATTATGCCATCTAGAGTCACTGCTTTAATACCTCCCTGTTAGAAGAGCTTCCGTAAGCGACTGTAATCACAAATTCATTGCTGGAAGCCACGCCACGTTGAGTGATTGTCATTCGAAATTGTGACGTTTATTTTTGGCTTTTTAGTTTAGGAATCTGCATTAGTGATTACTGCATATCGGGCAGTCTACGGTAAACTTTCCCAAAGCTTGGACATTGTGTATGCACAACCTCATGTATGAGGGTGATGAGAAAATTAACCGCGCTCTGGCTGTGGGATTTATTTTATTCAACTTTCCAAAAAGTTAAATAGATAACTCTTCAACATCAACACCCTGCTTTTTAATGCACTTCGTCCACCTGTCGACGAGCGTTCGTATTCCTTCATTAAGAACCGTGCACGCTCTAGGTCGTGCTCAGTCGTGGACATGCACGAGTGACCGGCTCCTTCCTGACACTTGTGCATCCCCCTTGAACTTGTGCATCCATTCAAACACGCTTCTTTGCGACGAAACACCCCCTTTATACCGTGGACAAAGTCATCAATAAATGTCGGCACAAGACACACCCTCGGACCGCAAAGAACTAATCCCAGCACGCTGCTCTTTCGTCCAAATCGTGTGGGTAAAAAGACAGAGAGGCCAACTAATTTGTCTGGCTCATCCCTGTAAGCCGACTTGGCCGTGTTTACAGAAAGGTGGAGAGAGTCGTAACCGGCTGTGGTCTTTGTGTTTTGCTCCCAGGTGGCAGCCGTCTGCGACGAAATGGAGACGGAATCCGTCTCGGATGCGAAGATGGCCGCCCTGCTGCGCTCGTTCGTGGAGCTCAAGTCTGAGACGAGCTTGATCAACGGAGTGGTCTTCACAAAACGGGCCCTCCTGCCAAAGGCGAGGAATAGTTGTAGCGTTCTGTCGGGACGATCAAGAATCGCTCAAAGCCGCAATCACGACGCTCATAGGGGTTACTAAAGACACGGCATTCGCCACTGACACGATGACCTGCGGACAGGCCTCAATTGGAAGCATGTTTCCTTCGTACTTATGGCATGCTGTGAATTTGTCTAAGAGCTGTTTTTGTATGGCGAACATGGCAGGTCCCTCGACGAGGAAAAAAGGTGCCTCAGAGGGCGGCTGCAGGCTGTCTTTCAAAGGATGTGTCAGTGCATGGGTTTCGGCTGGTTTACATGCTTGCGTTTCAGCAGGACTGAGGAACCGCTTACGACGGAAATGTGACACTGGCTCCATCTGTTGGGTAGCCCTAGAAAACTTCCGATCTCTGCACATTTCCTCAGTTTTGGCGCGTCACTCTTTGACCCCGGGCTCGAAATAACCCTAACGTCGTTTTAAACGACAGTTTCTCGTAAATGGTGCGTAGGTATGGTCTCGTGGATACTGCAATACCTTGGACCTGCCGTAAAATACCGGGCAAGTGCGTGCTCAACAAAGAGATAATCGTGAAAAATTGGGTGGCAGGCGCTTGTCCAGTCATCGGTTTTACGTGTAGATGTACCGCGCATATTTTCTCAGATCTCACAAATTTGGTAGTGGGCGCTTAACGTGGAATGGGCGGATGCGCGGTATTCTACGGTAGTTATACATGGATCGGAAATGTTCCCAGGCCACCGTTAAATTGTGACACCGTACTTTCTCGTCGTAAGCTGTCACAACTGGTTACAACGCAGGCGGTACAAACCGGTACGACGGTGTACCGGTTTGTTTGTTTCTTTTGAAATTACTTTGCCCCTCTCCTTCCCTTTCCTGGCTTCTCTCCTTGTTCCTCAGAGCATTCCAACGTCGCGTAACCCCGGATATATTTTCACTCGTTGCTCCCAGGATGTGCGCGAACACACTCCCGACGGAGGCACATTCAACGAGGTCGTCTTCCGTAATATACCGAACGATTTTTGAGACAACTTAAGTGGTAGCTTCATCCGCCGCTCGGTATGGCTCAGAAAGCTTTGTGCTCGCTCCAGAGGTACGTTTTCGATTGATGAAGCAGTCGCCAAAATTGCTAGTCGAAGCTTTTCTCTCTTCTTTCTTGCGCCGAATGTGTCATGTGACTGCTCCCTAACCGCTCTCTGTAATGCGCGCCTCTAACAAAAGAGCTTTCCACGAGTGCTGCATCCGCGTTCGGCCTGAACTTGCATCCTCAATGATTGCGCGCAAGTCTCGGCCGATTGGCGTCGTACACTCTTTTCCAATCTGTACCTCGTGTTGGCCTCCAGTGGGTAGCCTCTCATCTCTTGGCGACCTTGTGCATCACCGAGAGAGGGGAAGCGCACTTTCCTGCCCTTTTCAGTCCTTATTTCGTACATTTTTTCTGCACCACCTGTTTCTGCTGCTCTCTTTCTTGCCCTTTCCACTTCTCCCCATTCCACGCGCTTGCCCACACCACCCGCTTCAGCTCCTCCCGCTCCTGCCTGCTGGTTCCGTAGCTCAGTCAGCAGCGCACTCGGTTTTCAGCGCTACGGCCTTATTTACGAGCAGGGGTGGATTTAGAAGGGAGGGTCCGGATGTCCTGACCCCCCTCTTGATTTCTGCATGTGTAAAATTTAGGGCATAAAACGAAGGAGAGGGGGAGGGGGTTCCTAAACATATGGTACGCTGATCAACACCGGACCCCCCCCCCCCCCCCCCCCCTCAGGAAATTCCTGCATCCGCCCCTGTTTACGAAGGCCGATTGGGAAGTGATGAGCCCGCCTTTTTCTTTTTACAAGGAGGTAGGCTGGCAACGCTGTGCTGGTGTTTTGTGACAATTCTTTGTCAACATGTCGAAATTTGTAGTTGAACCACCGTAGCCCTCAGCATTCTGTCACAGCGAGTGAAGGCACCTTATTTATTATTATTATTATTATTATTGTACTGCATTGAATTTTGTTTTAAGCCCCCGCAGGGGGCACCTGTGAAAGCAGGTGTTTGGAGAGTGGCGTCTCCACGGACCCCGAGCCCCGCAGGGGGCGCCTGCACCTTAGGTGCTAGGTGCTTGGTGAGTAGCGTCACCACGGATCCCAGCCACGTGGGCCACCATACCCGCACGCAGGGGGCACCTGCTTTTCAGTAGGTGCTTGGTGAGTGGCGTCACTACGAACCCCGAGCCATGTGGGTTTGCCCACCCACGTCTGGCTGTGCGTGGCGTACCCGTGTCCGGGGAAAGGGGGACCCTGGTGGTTGAGCTGAGCCCGGGGTATGTTTGGACCCTTCGGGGCCCCCTGGGCAAGGCAATACACCGCTTCGGCCTCTGCTTCCCGTAGGCGGGTGTCCTGGCTTGGCCCGACCAGGATGATTCAGTCAGTCGCCTCTTCTACCCTATTCTTCCTTCTTTCACTTTTCCTTCCACCTCTTTCTCTTTTCTTCTGCTCTCTCTTCCTTCCTTTTTCACCTCCTTAGGCGGCAAGGGCCAACCTTGCCGCCTAAGGAAACAGGACCTATCCCTGCAACCACACTAGGGTATAGTGCCCGGGTAGCACTGGTAGAGTAATTGTGTCAGCCAAGCCTTTCTTAGCTATGGCACATTACCTACCGCCTTGTTGGGCTCCGTGGTGGGCGGTGCACCCGGGCTCTGAACTTTCCTTCCCATCTTTATGGGTCTGCAAAGCAAAACCTTTCTCGATCGGGCTCCGAAAAGAGTCCGCACCGAAGCACGTACACTTGATGTTCCAGTAGTAGTTACTCCGCAGTATCCAAAGTTTTTGGTGATGCACTCAGAAACTGAGAAACCACTAAGTAAACTGTCCCCTTTTCTTGTCGCGAAAACTCTAGAAGGTGTTGTGGGAAAGACCTTTCAGGCTAAGAAGATGACATCAGGTGACCTCCTCATAGAGGTTCACACAAAGATCCAGAGTGATGCTCTATTAGCATTGAACTCCATCTCTGATTTCAAAGTCACCGTAACCCCCCACCGCACACTAAATACAGTACAAGGCGTAATTTCTGAAGACGACTTATTAGAAACTCCAGAAACGGAAATCGTAGAGGGCCTCTCCAGCCAGGGTGTGATCGCCGTACGGCGCATCACACTTCGACGCGACGGCGTGGAAGACAAAACAAAACACATCGTACTGACCTTTGCAATGACCACCCTTCCACCAGCTGTCAAGGCAGGTTACCTGCATTGCCGCGTTCGGCCATACGTACCGAACCCGCTGCGCTGCTTCAAGTGCCAGGGGTTCGGCCACGGCTCACGGAGCTGCCGCGGATCTGACACGTGTGCGAGGTGCTCTAGCAAAGAGCATTTCGCAGATCACTGTGAGAACGAACCAAAGTGCACCAATTGCAAAGGGAAGCACGCTGCATATTCTCGGTCTTGTTCTCTCTGGAAGCAAGAAAAAGAAATACTTACATTGAAGGTCCAAGAGAACATTCCATACCATGAGGCAAAGAAGCGTGTCTTGTTTGCCTCACGTGGTTCATATGCAGAGGCTGTGCACAGGGGACCTGCACGGCCGATGGTGTCCACGGGGACGCAGACATCTTCGGATGACCTGCGTGTCCCGTCGGGGTCCCCCTCCACCTCGGGAGTGGTGCGGCAAACACCGCCTCCGAGCACTAGGAAAGATGTGGGCGTGCCCACACCCAGTAAGGAGCAAGGCTTGGCGACCCTTGCTCCTCGCACTGCTCTGCCCCCCAAAGGACGGGGTATGGCACCCCGCCCTTCTGGTACCCAGACGATCCCTGGCCTGCCAACCAAGCCAGCGACATCCAAGGGTCAGCCATTGGCGACTACCACCGACGAGCCAATGGATCAAAGTGGGCTCAAGTCCGACGAGGACAGGTCCATGTCAGGGTCGGAGTGTTCCCTTCCCGGCACTGGTGGATCCACCAGTGAGCAGAAGGGTGCCACTAAAAAGAAAAACACAGCTCGTATAAAGATTGATTTTAAGACCTGAAAATATGTTCCTTGTCTGTATTTAATCTTTTCTTCATTTTTACGTTTTTAGCTTTTTAGATTTCACTCTTTTAAATTATGGCCTGCTTTATGCAATGGAACTGCAGAGGTCTTTTTTGTAATTTAGATGATGTGAAGCTCTTGTTGCAGAGGCATGAACCCTCTGCATTTTGCCTCCAAGAGACTTACCTCAAACCACCCAACAGCAACTTTCTTAGATCATATCAAGTCTACAGGAAGGACCGCGTGACTACCTCTGGCGCTGCCGGTGGAGTTGCTGTTGTCGTAGACAGTGGCACTCCTGCATATGAGGTCCCCCTAGACACGCCCCTGGAGGCCGTTGCGGTGGGGTTACTACAGCAACGCCTTATTACAATTTGCTCCATTTACATCCCCCCTTCATTTGCCCTGGAACTCGCCCAACTTGAAACTTTAGTCGATCAGCTCCCTGAACCTTTTATTTTAATGGGCGACTTTAATGCACACAATCCCCTCTGGGGTAGTGTCCGAACTGACACTCGAGGTGCTGTTGTGGCGCGGTTTTTATCTCTCAGAGAAGTATGTGTATTAAATACAGGCGAACCAACATATTTCAGTTCTGCTAATCACTCCTTTTCTTGCATTGACCTCACTATTTGTTCCGCTGCACTTTTTACAGATTTTATTTGGAATGTATTGGATAACCCTTATGGAAGCGACCATTTTCCGGTGTATCTTACTCCCTTAGAAGTCCTGCCCAGGCTGCCTTGTCGTTCCCCCTGTTGGAAGATCTCTTCAGCAGATTGGAACCTTTTTCAGTCAAATATCCCCTCTTCCCTGGATCTTTCGCAAGCGGCCTCCGTGGACGAAAAAAATGCTCTCATAACAACAGCAATTGTTGAGGCAGCCCGTCTGTCCATCCCACAGACATCCGGCAAGCTGCCGAGACGTCCTAAACCGTGGTGGGATAATGAGTGTAAAGAATCCCGAAACCGCCAAAACTGTTCTTGGGCAAGATTTAGGAGGTATCTCACTTCCATAAACCTCCTGGCATTTAAGCAATTACGTGCAAAAGCCCGCTATATTAGGAAACGGGCGAAAAGGAGATCCTTTTGCTCATATGCATCTTCTATTAATAGTTTCACGCCAGCGAAGATTGTCTGGGACAGAGTAGGTAAAATGGATGGTGACTACCATCCTTTCTCAATCCCCTTGCTGTTAGACGAGAAGGGAGAAGCATTTTTATCATTATATGAACAAGCCAACGCACTTGGTAGACACTTTGCACAAGTCTCTAGTTCTGAAAACTACACTGCAGAGTTTCTGCAGTTTAAGTCCAAGCGCGAGAGAATTCCAATTGGTAGATTAGAAGATTGCACTGGAAAGTATAATTGTCCTTTCTCCCTCGTCGAGCTCCGTCGAGCCCTTGCTGCTGCAAAGCCTACATCCCCTGGACTTGATGCAATTCACCTTAGCATGCTTTCTCATCTACCTGAAACATTTCTAGTTATTCTCCTCCAGTTTTTTAACATCATCTAAGTGAAAGGAAAGTTTCCTAGCACCTGGAAACAGGCTATTGTCATCCCCATCTGAAAACAAGGAAAGGACAGAAGTAAAGCCACGAGCTACAGGCCAATTGCCCTTACTAGCTGTTTGGGGAAAACTTTTGAGCGGCTGGTCAACAACAGGCTAATCTACATACTAAAAGAAAAGAACCTACTAAGCAATTTCCAGTGTGGTTTCCGCACTTCCAGGTCTACTGTTGACCACCTGGTACGTCTTGAGACGACGGTCCGCGAGGCTTTCATAAATAAGCAATTTTGTCTGTCTGTATTTTTCGACCTTGAAAAAGCTTACGACACCGCCTGGCGTTATGGCAAACTCCAGGACCTTATCTCTATGGACATGAAAGGGAGAATGTTCAACTGCATTGCTGACTTTCTGCAGGATCGTAGCTTTCAGGTACGCCTGGGAGCTACAATCTCCGACCCTTTCTCCCAGGAGAATGGCGTGCCGCAGGGCTGTGTCTTAAGCGTCACTTTGTTTATTATAAAGATAAATTCTCTATCTCAAGTAATTCCGCCCACAATCTCTCATTCTCTTTACGTCGACGATGTCCAGGTTTGTTTTTCTTCGTGTAACTTAGCCATCTGTGAGCGACAAGTTCAACTTACGGTGAACAGGATGAGTAGGTGGGCTGACCAGAATGGCTTCCGGTTTTCTGCCGAGAAGACTGTAGCTGTTTGTTTTTCTTGAAAACGAGGAATGTCTCCTGAGCCATCATTGTATATTAAAGGTACACCCATTCCGGTTAAACCGGAGCATAAGTTTTTAGGCCTAGTATTCGATAGTAAATTAACTTTTGGCCCGCATATAAAGGAACTAAGATTAAAATGTCAGCGAAAGTCGAATCTTCTTAAGGTCCTTGCACACCGTTCTTGGGGTTCCGACCGTATCTGCCTTTTGCGAATCTACGGGGCCTGTGTTCGCTCAGTTTTGGATTATGAAAGTATTGTTTATGGTTCTGCTAAACCCTCTACACTTAAAATGTTAGACCCAATCCATCACCAGGGAATCAGACTGGCAACCGGAGCCTTTCGAACGTCCCCCGTGCCCAGCTTGTATGCCGAGTCAAATGAGTGGTCGCTTGACTAACGTAGATTTTATCTTAGCACGCAGTACTATTTAAGACTCCGTACTCTTCCACAGCACCGAAATTTTTCTTTGATTGAAAGCATAAAATATGAGCAGGCCTTTCAAAACAAGCCATCCGTAACGCGTCCCTTTGCACTGCGTGTGAAGGATGCTGCAGCGGCTTATAGTTTTGACATATCTTGTTCTGTCATGGAAACTGAACAAAGACTTGCTCCTTGGGACGACCTAACTATAACATGCGACCTCTCTTTGACAAAATACAACAAGAAAGTGGCAGCCGCTAGTGTTATAAAACAAGAATTTTTTGAGATTGCTAGTCGTTACGAGACGGACAAAAGTTTTTTTACTGATGGGACGAAAGGTGCTGGCTATGCTGGCTGCCCTGCAGTTGGGCAATCCTACCATCGTGTTATTCAAATTAATGCCAATGCATCTGTGTTTACAGCTGAGCTTCATGGACTCTTAGTGATTGTAGATGAAATAATCAAACAAAAATACAGATTATCTGTGATATTTACAGACTCGCTCAGTTCCCTCCTTGCCCTTAACTCTGCAACATCCTGGAAGCATCCCCTGGTTTGTCTGCTTCGTGTTAAACTAATGAATGCTATAAAGCAAAACATCTCTATTCACTTTTGCTGGGTTCCTAGCCATATAGGAATACACGGCAATGAGGAAGCCGACCGAGCCGCAGGTGCATGTGTAAACAGGTCCATTGAAATTCACACCCTCCCAGTGACAGATTATAGAACCACACTACGAAATACAATCAAAAATTCTTGGCAAGTAGAGTGGGACTCTGACCCTCACAATAAGCTATATAAAGTTAAACCTGTTTTGAGTGAATGGCGCAGCGCCAGACATCGAGAAAGGTTCTATGAGGTCATCTTATGTCGACTGCGGATAGGCCACACACACCTGACTCACAGCTACCTTCTAAGAAACGACGACCCACCGATGTGTGACTGCTGCTCAGAAACTTTAAGTGTACTTCATATCCTTTTAGTTTGCCCACAATTTAATAACGAACGCCGCTCCTACTTTTGTATCTTTTTCAGAAAACGAATACCTTTCCACTTGGCCCTTTTACTTGGGATCAGCCCGTTACTCCGTACAGACAAGTTTTTAACTTTTTAGAAAAGTTTAATATTTTACATCGACTTTAAACTACAATCTTGTTTAAGTGATATTTGATATTTTGACCCACTGCAATAGTAAACATTTAGTCTTGTGATATTTACTTGCCCTGTGTTTGGCGCACTATGGCCCATGTTGCTGCTGCGCCAGGAAACTCAAAATTCATTCATTCATTTGTTTTAAGCTTTCGAAGAAGCATCTGCACTGTAACTTTTCTCGTATAGCCTGGACTTGTTGCCCCGTGACTTTTGGGCATTCCCACCAATTAAAAGAAGAAAAACTGCATGAAAAGTAATTTTCTTCGGAAATGTCACGAAACAGTGTTTTGCATTTCATGAGATGATCTTTAATGCATTCTAAAAAATATGTTGAATGTTCAGACCTGTAGAGTCATCTTATATCGAACAAAAAAATGAGTCTTATGGCTTTTCAATCGGCCCCTTTAGAAGGTACCTAGCGTCGGGGGGGGGGGAAAAGATGCAGGGGGCAAAGGGGAAGAGACCAGGCGCACGCTTCGGACGAGACAGGGACACGCGAAATGGCGGGGTCAAAGCTGGGATGCGCAACCTCCAGGTGCAACCTTTGCATTCCACTTGCGCTGGAGCGCCAACTTTGGCAGCTATCTTTTGCGTAGGCGCCGCGCACGACGACGTTCGTGCCGTCTAGGCATAAAATAAGTACAGAGTTCCTCGGCAAGGTCGTCGCGAAGCGATATGGGACACGTTGTGGGTTACCCTGGTTTCTCCCCGTCACAGATAGAAAGCTGGAAGGAGAGCTCGGCGCCCCGACTCCTGGTCGAGTCGATCGCCGCGTTTGTGACGGCGCTGCCGCAGGTCAGCGTGGAAGGACTGCTTGTGCCGCTCGCCCAGCTGGCCCACCCAGGTGCGGAGGAATCTCGCGATGCAACGACTTTTTTTTTTTAAAGTTCCTCGATAAGAGCTTTTTACTGGTAGCGTCATCCTTCGAAGCAGCGACTGCGTGATGGTGCAGGTTTTAGGAAGCGAATGGTGGAGCACAGCAGAGGACTGAATTGAATGGCGCCATTTTGTTCCAGCGAAATGTGCTTTGTCATTTGTATTGGTTGTCGTCACGTATAAGAAGAAGTGACTTTTCGAGAGGACTACGTCGAAGAGAGTGTCGCACTATTTCCTTTGCGGTTGCCTCGTGCACGTAGAACGGACGTCTTGAACCCTCCAAAGGCACTTGTCGTTAAGTCCAGTCGCTCTATACTCGGTGACAGGTTAAGAGAAGCTTTTTGGCTGGGGAGGAGGTAGCAGACAGAATGCTGAAGAGAGGAGGAGGTTTCCTCCTCTCCAGTGTTCTGTCTGCTTCCCCCGCCCCTGCTCTCCCTCGAAAGCTTTTCCTAACCTGTAACTGACTCTAGTCACTGACAAGGTGAGAGGAAGGAGCTCTGGTCGGCCTGCCTCTGGGGCCAGCTTCCCGCCCGCGGCAAAGCTCGGGCGTCTCGGGCACCTCGAGTGCTTGGCCGAGGGACGGCGGAAGACGGGGAGCACCCGCCCAGCGTCCGAAAAACGCGCCCTGCCCTCCTCAGTTTGCCGGCAGCCGCATTGGCGCACGTTCATCGTCATCTTCGCAAATTAACGATCGGCACCAATGCACATTCATTATCATTGGCAGCACATATTCACGATCACCTTTTAAGCATATTCGTCGTCGGCAGCACAAAGTCACGATTGTCTTTTATGCGTATTCGTCGTAATCGGCACACCTTCGTGTCCAGTCTGGATGAGCATTGTGCCAGCGTGCGGTCATGTATCGCTACCACGTGGTGCACGTTAAAGACCCCAAACTAACGATTGTACCGCACTGGCTAAATTTCTCATCTACGGCTGAGAGACTCGTCGAGGCAGGCTAACTTCCGGCTGTATAAAAATGCGTACGACGCAATTGATGTTTATCGCGTATTCATATTCATGATCACCTTTTACGCATATTCGTCATCCTGGGCACATATTTATACTAATGATCATCTTTTATGCATATTTGTCACCATCAATACATATTCACGATCATCTCTGCACGTTCATCGTCATCATTGGCGCGCATCATCATTTGGCTCCCAGGCAAGGCCCAGGGAGAGGTCCTGCAGGCTGCAGCAAAGGAGGGCATCCCCAAGGACTACGCTCCTCTCTGCCTCAGGTACTCCACTTCCGTTCGGCCAAAGTTTCGCCGCACTGCGCCTCTCCTCCCCCTGGATGAGGAGCGCCCCCGCTGTTTAGCATTTTTGTCGGCGGAGCAGATGCCACCGGAAGCCGGCACGCTTCTCGGCGTGCCGGCTTTAAACAAATAAGGTGCTCAAGACGAAAGGACGGCTCGTCGGGTGGTGTTGCGCAGTCAACTTCCACGACGGTGCCCTAAGCGTGATGAGAACCTCTCGCCAAGCTTCGTTAATTTCTTGGGAGGTGGTATCGGAATGATCGCGGTCAAGAATGGACGAAGGCCGTGGAAAGGACGCAGTGAATCGTTGTTTCCTCGTCTTTTCGCGCGATTCGGGAATGCAGCTAGTACGTGTGCCGCTCGGTGCACGACGAGAGCTAGGATTCTCTGCGTCGTCTTACATCTCGTATCTTTCGCAGCTTACGCACTTTGTTCCGTAAGCATCGGGAAACAAACTTGTCGTAGGCTCGGTAAGCTCTCGTTTCACGAGTTATCTTTAGAATGGCTATGCACGCAGGGGCTCCTTTTGTCGGGAGCCACATGGATCTGCCGAAGAGATTAAAGAAACGCGGCAGTGCAACGGCGCTCATTGGGAACAGTTTGGCACTGGTGGCTGTACCCCATTTTTTATGTTATTAAAGAAATGTAGTTAGCATATATCGGCCATGATTACTTTCTAGGCATGAACAATTAGTGGATTTTGAGTTAGAAGCGAATACTAGCGTTTTGGGTCGAATATTTTCAAATAGAATGTCGAACAGTTTCTCTCAGCCTTTTACTACTGCACCCTGCTTAAAGGGCCCCTGAAAAAAAAAGTTGTGTTTTTTTTAAACACTCTGGGTGGGACGCGCGTGTCAAAAAATAAATTTTACTAAAGAAAAAAAAATGTTTTTAGTGCATTGACGACGCGATTTAGTCGGCAGTCCCCTCCTTTCCACTTGTTTTCTCTCCCGTCATTTCGAGCGCATGGAGGAGAGGTGGATCGGCTTTGCCCTCACGACCGAGATGGTCATTCTGGAATGACCAGTGATGTCATGGATTTCGTGCACAGAATTTCAAATAAATCTCTCGCAGTCACTATTGCTCTAAAAATTTTTTTTTTTTGCGTAATTTTTTGGCACGCGTGCTCCTTATTAGGCTGTATAGAAAAAACTTTTTTTCTTCTTTTCAGGGGCTCTTTAAACAGAAACGCAGCTCAACTCACGAAGGTTGTTCCTAATCTTCCACCTGTCCATTAGTACGCTCAGTGAATTCCGGTCCAGCTATATTTATGGACTGTGGACTCGGACAGTCCAATACGCACATTGGGTCGCAAATAAACGACGCATCTGACATAAAATTATACCCGCAGAGGTGCCCAGTTACCTAATATAAGGTATTTGTAAATCTTCCTGTATGCAAATATCCTTTCTTCAATCTTTAATATGAAAAGAAAAGATCACCAATGATAAGTGCAGGTTGTCAGGGCATTTCTGCCTAACGTAAAGTTGCATAATAGCCAGAGTTCAATTTTGAAATTTTTACTGCAATATCAACAATAAAAAGTTTCCATTTTTTTTTCTTCTAAATACACCAGGCACACATTATTCCTTTTTGAAAGCTTCTTTTAGTAAGCGTGGGACTGTAATATCCCCACTTTTCCAAGAATTCATTGCGGCCCCGTTGAGCATACTTCTTACCGAGCACCGGGGCGCTGCAGAAAAGCAACTCCCGCAGAAGCGAGCATCGTGGGTCTTGCCTCTCCACAGTGCATATGCGCTCCAAGTTCACCCGATAAGGCTTACCCGACACAATCGACGCTTAAAAGAATATGAATATTCGTCTCGAAGCGAACGTCGGCACGATCCTGTTACTTTCCGAGGATTTCTAGAACTGATTTTTGCCTTCTGTTGTCTGGCGACACTGTCAGAAGGGGACGTGCATCCAGTCATATGGTGTCAGTCTCACTCTTGCGACTCAAAAATGAAATACTACGGGGGGTGTAAAATTGGGAGTGGTTACTAGTAATGGCACTACTTGAGAAAGTAACCCAACTACGCTTTTGTTATCACCACGTGAAAAGAGTGACCGAACGACTTCAAAGTTGTTTGGAAACGTATATTTAATTAGTTCTAACAAGGAGGCAGTAGACGTGGAGAGGCCATGACGTTGACGTCGGCCCCGTAGCTCCCGTAAGCCGTGCCCTCTCGACGCTCGCCCCTTTCGCGCGCTTTCTCACTCTTTCCTCGACAAAACGAAACAAACCTCCTTGTAGATATGAGCGTTCCCCCGACGTTCGCGGTTGTTGACGGTTTATAGCGGTGCTCAAAGGGTGCGAGCATGTGTGCGTTCGGTTCTGATCGTATTTGCTGGAAACTGTGATTATCGATAGTCGTCGTCAGGTTCTCGGTGAACGGAGCGAGGCAGAGAGTTGATGCTGCGCTGTTGGACACTCGCGCAAAGCATGATCGCGAAATATACGATGCATTGAAATAGTGTGTTTTGTCTCTACCAGCCATGGACCCAAAATCGCTGCTTCATGTAGTTACAAACTTGCAGAGTGGAAGCCAATTGGCTTAGAACGGCGAAGGGAGGAATGATACTTTTGATTTCAGTTCCTAGGCTAGGTGGCGCAAGCTACCGCCCATTATAAAGGGTACAGTCGTTAGCATCCATCCATGCACTCAGCAGCTAGCAGGAGTTTGTTCTTTCGGCTGTAAAATTTGTTTCCAACTGATTACAAGAAGTTTAAGGGTTTCAGATGAATGCTCTGGAAGCTTGCTTCAGCCCTTCGTGCAGCAGCACAAGACACACACGCGGCATACTCTGTTTTTAGACCGCCTGCTCAGTGTTCAAGCGTGCCTGCCAGTGACGTCGCAGCACTGAAAAGCGCGGGTAGATTTGAACGTTGGTTTTGGCATAGCTTTCATTTGCCGATTTCACAATGGCTCTCGTAAATTTAGAGATACAGGCTGAAAAAGTTAAAGTTCCAGGCTTCAAACAATATACATAAATAGCTCAGGTAGTTTACAAATCGACGGAGTACCCCTTTAAAAACATAATTTCTGGATGTCAGAATTAGAAGTCAAATTGGACGTTTAGTGTTTAAACAGCGTAAGGCCGGTCTGCCAGGATGGTGCAACTCTGGTTTACACTGCAGATGAGCAATCTTGCCAGTACAGTCCAACTGCTAACCTGGGGTCTTTAACATGCACCGCGCAGTAGTGATACACGGCCACACGCCGCTACGGTGCTCTTTCAGATCGAAACGGGCAGGGGTGGGGCAGGATCCCTCGGTTCTGCAGCGCGAGCTTTTGCTCCACGTGCGTCGAGCTGGGTGTGCGCCTCAGCCCACTGGACCACCAATTCTCCCTGGATGTCGTTGTTAAACTGAACACCGTAATTACTTCGGAAGCTTTTAAACCTTTTAAATATCTTGGCCCTTCTTATGACACTGCACCCAATCAAAAGATGCCACTAGAGCTGGTTTTGCGAAGCAGCAACATTTCTATATTCTAGAAAATATTTCTTTCTATTTATTCCCGTTTGCCCGATCCCATTCGCGATGCAAAAATGAAACTAGAAATGGATTGTTTTATTTTCAGTTGGGTTTGATGTTTTGAATGCTGGAATTGCAATGCCATTGCGTTGCAAAGTATGAAGCAAACACTGGAGAGGATGTCGCCTCCTCTCCAGTGTCCGCTCTGCTAAAGTGGAGAGCGGTAGGAGAAGCTTCTCCCAATCTCTTATTAACTGTCCCAAACTATAGAGACGATTATCTTTCAGACGAATTTTGCAGGAGTCTAAAGCCAACACCGAGGCGATGATTGGTCTCATCCACTGCCTCGTCTCCAAGAGGGTAAGTGTCCATCGTCTTTTAGTTTGGGGCAACTAGCTATTGCTGGTTTTTGTAGAGAGCAGTTTCGCTAAAATAACTTTTAAAACGTTACGAATTGGTAGGCGTATTCACTCGCGTGCAAGTCTGTCTCTGTACGAACAAAGCTCGATCGTCTATGCTTTCTCACACAATAGATAGAGAACCAGTTGGCTCTCTTTGCTAAAAGACACGAATAAGGAGACACCTGTAACAAATGGACTAAAGGTAGTAGCAGCCAGTGGTTTGATTTTTCTCTAAGTGAGAGTGAGAGTGTTCTCTGCTGCTGATTGGACACAGTACCCTGCTTGCGTGTAATCAACCGGCAAGACATTTTTGACCCTTTTGCGAGTTCACAATTGGGCAATCTTTTGGTGGGAATGTCCTACAAACATACAAACAGCAAGCAATCACGTCAAAGGTCTTTTTTGGCCTTTAATTTGCTCATTCTTTGTACTCCTTCATCCACCTGTCGATGTCAGCTTGTGCACGGTAGCAGAGCAACTTGAGATTTGCAGACGAAGCGTGGGCTGCCACTGACCTCCAACAATAAATAGCGGACGATCGCGATTTCAGACTTTGTTCGATCTCGCCCTGCCGTGGCGCTCGGTTCGTAGCAGACGTGCAACATTTTTTCTGGTCTGTTAGCAGACAACAAACTGCATTATTTCCGTCTGCAAATCACGCCTTGTAGGGGACAAACTTTTCGCTCGCATCAGCAAATGAACCGTTTGCGAGAGACAAACCTCCGCAAGAGGCTCTCACAGTGACCAGAATCAGGCCGCCGAATCTATAACTGGGCGTGTTAGAGTTTCTTGCATTGCTTGGACGTCTCGGTCTCAGGGTCCCCTGGAGGGTGTGCTCCCAGAGCTTGTGGGCTGGCTGCTGGCTGCGAAGGAGGAGCACAGTGGAGACGCCAGGTTTGCAAAGCTGCTCGTGGATTTCCTGAGCATCTGCGGACCTCAGGTGGGTCTGCCCAGCCGCGCAAGTTTGCTCGCTCACCTCGCTGCACGTAGCGTATGTAGCAGGCATCAGAGAGGTTTAGGGGACCGTTTTCGCACAAACGAAACGATGCAATTGGCTCTCCGGTATGGACTGCGCATGGTCGAGGTCACTGCTGCTTCACTGTAGTCCAGTTTCCGAACCAGAATCTGGGATAGTGTGGTCAGAGTGGCCGACATCAGAAACATCTTGACTCGTTTATAGAACGACTCTTTCGTTGTGAATGAAACGTGAATGAAAGTATTGGCAGTTGTGCCTGGAAGAAATGTCATGGCAATGGTGAGAACCGAGTCGAATGCGCGAAAAATAAAACAAAAAAAACGAAACGTGAAGAAGGCACCAACAGTTTTTTTAGAACATTTTGTAAGTTTTTCTCGCCTAATAAAGCCAATTTGAACCCGTCGTCAAAAAGTTCTAGCGCCATGATTGCTGCGAAGATCCTCTGCTCCTCTAGCAGACAAACTGTTCAGTCACGAAAATAATTCCTGGAGAAAGGGAACGAGGGGGACAAAGGACAAACACAGCTAGGTGACTGGTGCGCGACCGAAAAAATCTGCCTGGTGCTGGTATCGAACCAGGGACCTCTCCATTTCCAGTGGAGGATTCTACCAACTGAGATAACCAGGAGTTAGGCGTCAGTAGAGCTCAGTTGGTAGAGCGCTCCACTGTAAATGAAGAGGTCCCTGGTTCGATACCAGCACCAGGCTGATTTTTTCGGTCGCACACCAGTCACCTAGCTGTGCATGGAGATTTGTGTTTGTCCTTAGTCATTCTTGTTCAGTCACGGTCAACCACCGCCATATTTAGCGCTCCCATTCTAGCAAAACAAGACAAAACATGGTTAGTTCCCCAAATCTGGCTTCAGGCTATTTGTGAAAAGGGAAATGATTTTCTTTCAGTTCTGTGAAATTACCGAGCACTCCTCTTCCCAAGAAACAACATGCCCCTTCTTTACCCACCTTACGAAGCCATTGCACATTTCCGTTGTCAGGGGGCGCGACGACGGCGATGCTTGCCTTTTTTCCTGCTTTTTTTCTGGAACTTCTACGCCTAACTGCCAGGGTCGCGACATCCGACAGCATGGCACTCTGGCTTTTTGGCCGTCATTTGTTGCCACTTCGGTACCAGCTTCAATGATTTTTAGTGCGGTAGGACGCTACACACCGTACTTGCACTAACCTTGTAAGGCGTCTGCTCTGTTTGATGTGCCCACCTGTCTGGGGTTTCGAGATTTTATATTCACAGGAAACTAGCTGAAAACGAATATGTCTTTTCTGAGGAGGAGACAGTGAGCTGTACTGGTTGCCACACTTTGAAAATCGGGGTCGTTTTTGCTGCTTAATTCGGCAGATACCTCGTAACGTTTTCAGGTCCGACGTTGTACCGGACAGGCATCGCGGATTGTATAAACTATTTGTGTAATGAAAGCCACAATGTAATTGCAGCGGGGTTAGTAATTTGCTCAGCATTATTAGCGGCACATAGACGAACGGCATCACCTATCATTTGGATGTTATTTTACAAGACCCGTGTAGAGGTTTGTCAATTTTGCTCGAGCATAAATGTTTCCCAGATGAGTTTTGGCTGACGTGCATTGAGTAGAATATAGTTCTCCCGTTTCTTCGCAGATGTCTCCGGACCAGCTGGAGAGCATGTCCGGTGTCGTCAGTGCTAATCGAACGTTTCTTAAGAAGCCCATTGAAAATGTGTTCCGTAAACTCGCAAGTTGACCGCCGAGAAGCAGAGGTCTGATCTGTGATTGGAGCGGCCAATGTTCAACTGGGCTCAAAGGTGTCTTCATCACGGTTCTTGTGCAAGGGATGCATGCTGCTAGTGTCCCATCTGAACTGCATTTTGGTTGTAAATATAAGCGAAATATTTTGAGGTGACTGTATTTTTGTGTACCTTGATGATCCAGCTGGATCCGGCTAAGACCAGTTACATAATCCAGCTGCATGCGGACTGATTTTCACCTAGGCTAGTGTACTCTGGAAATAAGAGAGAAAAACAATGTCTACTATAATTTGGTAAAAGAAAGTTGTATTTCGTGCAATCAATGCAGACTCATGAAATCAATTGTGTTATACGACGGGAGAACAGCATGTGGAATTGATGTAACTATAGCTGTGCTTAGTTACGTCTATTTACAGTATGTGTTCCTCGAAGACCTTGCATGAACCCTGAAGTGAGAGGAAGATGGGATAGAGGAACACTGCACTCCAAATGCAGCTAAAATTTTGTCCCACAAAGACGTGATGGTCAAGTAGAAGGACGTACACCACTAAGCACTCCTTCGAGTGGTTTAATTTCTGCAACTGGTTTAATTTCGCGAAAGACGTATGTACCTTGATAACAAAACACTTCATCCGATCTTTACCACCCAATGTTTTATCCCTTTTCCTTTTTGAAACCCCGAACAGTCGCAAATAGGACAACTCGGGATCAAACCAGCTTATCGAAGGAGCACTGACACGTGCCTTCGTTGCACTAGGGTATAAAAAGATGCTTCCGTTATATCTCTTGTCTTCTTGTTTCTGTTTTTTGCTACGATAACTGCGTCGTCAATAATAGTGTACACATTTGCATCTACTACAGTACATCGCAATATTATCCGAGGGGGCCGATCGTACCGACGGGGTGTGTTTCCTCAGCCTTTCATTAACAGTGATGCGATTGCTGCGCCAATTGCGCCAAACTGCGCCAAGTGGCTAACCCTGCTACATCCCGCTACACTTTGCCAAAATATGGGTAACCTGCACCGAGCCTGCGCCAAAATCCCATTTTGGTCGCCTTTCAAAACCGGAACTAAACTCAGTACATACTGTAGTTGAGCATGCGTGTGTTATGTGGCACAAGCGGCCCCCCGGCGCAAAGTACCCCGCATTAATCGTCCATCCGGTCTTGCATGCCTTTTCCGCCTGTCTCGCGTTTTGCGCTCTCGTCTTCTCGTAAATCTCGTCTGACGTCTTTTTTATTTATTTATAGACGGGGGTTTCTACGGACACTCGGAACCCAGCGTGCCGGGTACCAGCCGTGCCGTGAAACAAAACCACGTTTTTGCGCGGTGGGAGTTATTTTCTGAGCTGAAGCACTCACTCCTTAAAGCACTGGCCGCGGGAAAACTATATTTGGTTCCTGCCTTCCAGTCACCGTGGTCCTGCGACGTCGGGTGTTGCCAACCCCATGTCGCTGCAGATATGGTGCTTTCTAAAATGAAACTAAGTAAAGCCGCACGTTCATCAACGTTCGTGTTCTCGTTTAATTATCGTACGTTACTACAAAAATTCCTCTCTAACTCGAAGACCGCTCTGTCAAAGTATCGATTATTTAGATTCCTCTCGGTGGGCCTCCTTTCGAGAGGGACCTCGGCACGTGAAAATTCTGCCGTGAAAGAAAGTTGGTGAAGGGAAGTGAGCTAAAGCAATGAAGGCAATGTCTGCACGCTGAACCCGCGCAGCACTTGTTTGTCTGGAGTTCAGTCATTGCACAAAGCGCTCCCAGAACTTTCTGACCCTGGCCCGTGATGTCTTGCATCAATGCACTCAGGTTCTTTATTTTTGTGTGTGTGTGTGTGTTTAGCTTTTCAGGGTTTAAACAAGGAAAACTCATAAGCGATTGGGGGGTAAACATTGAATGGTGTATCTTGTTGTCACGGCATGTATGTTTTCTTTGAAATTAAACCACTCGAAGGTAGTGCTCTGTGATGTATGTCCTTCTTCTACTCGTCCTTCATGTTTTTTAGTAGGCATGGGCGAATAGAGGATTTTCGGTCCGAATCGAATTCGAAGTGAATAGTGATTTTGGCCAAATAATTTCGAATTGAATAGTTCAAATAGTACAAGCAACAAATACCACAAGATACGTTTAAACTACAGTTTTATATTTTCCCTTATTTGGTGTTAGAAGTACCGTAATTGTTAATTTCAATTGTATTGAATTTGGGAGCACGAAATGGTTGGAAGCTTGCGACACCTGACCAGAAATCCGAGCCAGAGCAAGTCAAGCTCGTTTATATCGAACTCTCAAAAAAACGTCTACCAGTTCGATATAGCGGGTAATTCGATATACAAGTTTTAATGAATTTGACTCAAAAATCGACTTTCTGCTGAAATATTACACAATGAAGTAGTCTTGCATCTTTTGTTGCTTTTTCTTCGTTGCGTCCGCTCTAATGATATTTTTCTACGCTATCGACTGACTCCAAAATGCTGGGGCCGCTGTCTTCTATATTCGCGCTTCAGCGCCGAACTGTGCCGAGAGTGCGCCCGAGCAGGAGCACCTTCTCCGGCAGAGCCCCGTTTTGCTCTGTAAGTTGGCTTTCCCCTTAAGACACGTGACAAGTAACGTCCCTGGTAGTGAAGAAACATCGAGGGACTTTAGTGGCAAGCTGCCCTTTTTTCTTCTTTCTTTCTTTTTTGGGCGGTTGCGTTAATCGCTTGGAAGAAAAAAGGATATTCTCTTTTGCGGAGGGAGCGGGGAGAGGGAGCACGGAGCACCCTCTCTCCGCTCCCTCCGCAAAAGATATTTTTTTCTGTTCTTCCAAACAATCGACGCCCGTAAAAGAAAAAGAAAAAAAGAAGAAAAAAAGCTGGCGTGCTTTGCAAGCTGGCTTTTCCCCAATGCGGCCGCTCGCGCTGGGGGAAAGCCAGCTTGCAGAGCAAAAGGGCGCTCTTGGCAGTTTGCTATATCGGTAGCGGCTGCTATTTTTGTTCGATGTAACCATAGTTTTTGCTATATACTATCACTGTAACATTACTGTGCACAAAAATTGTTCGATATAAGGAATAATTCGATGTAAACGGGTTCGATATAGTCGGGTTTACGTATTTAGAAAGGTTGAATAATTCTATATTGTCGAATAATTCTATATTGTCGAATACTTAAATTCGATTCGAAGCGAATGCCGAATAGAACAGAGTTTGATTGACTATTCCTAATAACCGAATATTCGCCCATCCCTATTATTTACCCATTTGCTTCGTCTTAAACATTGCACTACTGGTTGTGACGTTCCGGGAGAAAGAGTAGGTTTGCAGCGACCGTATTTCGGCTGAGAGATACTTTGACCTTACACTCCGTTTTTACATTCCAGGATAAGGGTGCGTTCGCTGACCTCACGATCCCTGAATGGGTTACCGCTTGTGTTATATTTCGGACCTCCAACTGTAAGGTCTGCGGCCGCATCATTTGGGTAGGATGAATGTTCACGGATCGTGAAGTTCGTGCTGGGGTATTTAGGGGTAAGCAATGACTCGGTGTTTTTTTTTAAATGATATTCGCTCAAAACGTTGGTGGGCAATGACTCGGGATATTACGGTTTTTGTTGTTACACTTTATTAAGATAAGGATGGCGCACACAAATACACACAGGGTGTCCCAGATAACTTGCACCAAATTTTACTAAAAAAACTGAGCACTCTGCGAGAGTGAAATTAACTGTATGTTGTTAGAAAGTGTTTTGGAAAAGTGCACAATTTCTTTTAGTGCATCTAGTTATTTAGTTAATTAAGATTAATGGACTATTTTTTTAATTATTTGTTTAAGAGTGGAGGTGGTGAATTGGAAAGTTGTATAGCACATTGAGAAACGGCCAAATAAGGTGTTTCCTACATGATGTGCTTTGTGCTCTTTTTTTTTTATTAGCCTAGAGAGAAAGCCTGCGAAATATTTAAAAAAAAGACCATGTAACATAGCGCCTGCGCATCACACTGGCAGCGCTTTCAAACGTGCTCTGAAGGAATGAAGTCCACCTTATCACTGGCACGCTGTCGGATACAGGACTTCGTATTCGAGTAGTCCCCAAAGATAACCGCAAGCAGCTGCCGCCATAAAGCCCTGTCTTAGGCAGCAGCCCAAGGCAGGGCTGAAACCGAAACCAACCAATGTGAAGCCGCCTTATGGCGCCGCATGTCAGCACCCTCTGCCCACTGGTCAGGTAACTACTGAGATGAAAAGGATGGATGGATGGATGCTAACAACCGTACCCTTTATAACAGGCGGTAGCTGGCGCCACCTAGCCTAGAATTAAGAACCAAAAGTATGATTTCTTTAGTTCGCCGATTTGCTTGCCCTCCGCAATTTCGTAACTATCTCCAGGCGGTGTGGGATATCGCCAGGATGACCTTTGGAAGACCGGACAAAAAACTATGGTCATCACCCCCCCCCCCGCCCGCCTCTTCCCCCCAGCGAAGGAGTCACCAATTTTTTTCTAGTCCTACTCAATGTTACGTTGGCACCGGACCCACGGGGGACTTTGAGCCCGAGCCATGCTGGAGGGAGTCCCAATTTTCCTCTGTCCCACCTGTCCCCAGCTGTCAGTTAGTGGTACATGATTCAATTCACCCTAGATAATTTCCACCAGTCTTCCAATCCCCTCTTTGTTAGTAAAATGCACTTGTCATGCATTCTTCCATTCTCGTCTGCAAACCCCAGTGCTCCGGCTAAATCCGTCACCCCCTCCGGGAGGGCGGGAGCAAGCCCTGTGCACCTCAACACCACATGTCCTGTAGTCTCGTTTTCCCCCTATGGGTATCCATTTGCTTATACTTTTTCCTATATTTCTAGTCCTGAATACTCTGGTTCTAGCCTGGAAGAGCTCCCCCGTGAGTTATCATATACCAATGTTCCTTCCTCATTTCCTATTTTCATCCCCTGTACATAGTTAAAGCTGATTTTCCCTTCATTCTTTCCTCCCACATCTTTCTCTCGGCTTCTGTTGCTTCCTTTTGCACAGAGGTAGTCTGCTCTGTACCAGCACTTGACTGTTGGTATTTGAATCCCAGTTTTTAGGTTCGGTTTGTCCATTTTATTGTTGAAACTTTTCATGTACAGATGCTTATATACCCTTCTCGCTTATTGTTTGTCCCCAGTTTTGTCCAGTCTTTGTTCA